CTTCATCCACAGAAAAATGCACGAAAACGAAATTTTCATGTAGATGACAGATTTGTTCTCTCAATTAAAAACGCAACACAGTTTACGAGATATAATTATACTACGAAATAAAGTTTCTGTTTGGGAATTAATACAATCTACTTAAATTATATCAAGTATAACAAACAGATTCAATTCTAGATGCTAGTTATAGTTTATTGTGTCTATTAAATTAGAGTGTGACAAATGAAGATGCAAAAGAATTATCTGTAGTCGGATTTCAACGATTTCAAATCAGAAATTAAATCTCTCTCAAATAACCACAAGATTATGACGAACGGCATCATTGTGCACAAAATAGCAAGAAAACATTTTTAATTTATCTAGTCTTCCAAAGGGATTTCGATGCTCATCACGTTGTAAATAAGGAATCAGTGCCTTCTATTTAGTGATACAAATCGACAAAACTTTATTAGTATTCCATGAGTAACAGAATGATATTTGTGTCAATTTTGTGTTACCAAATGAAAAGCATCCAACGAAAAAGCATCGATACTCACCATCAAATTGAAACATTTCTAGTCATAGAATGATTTGCTTATATAGCGCGTATATTACTGGACTCGCAGATGCAACGAGGGATCGCAGCTTGCTGCAACGTTGCGACTCAAATAGAGCCATTAACGCTGCTTTGAATAGCGCACATCATAGAAAAGACACGCCGTATGTCTCGAATGAGAAAGTCGTTTGAAATACTCGTAAAAACTCCGAATAAACCGTGAAGCACGGAAAGCGCTTTTTATGCCAGGCCGCGATTCGCTATTTTGCCCTAATCGCTGGTATCATACTACTATCACGATATTTAATACTTGCAACGGAAGATAACACAATCATTGTTAAATTATCATAACAAACGCACGTACTACAGACTGTCGACCGACGATGCATTTTAATAGTGACTTGCTCCGATTAAACTCTGCACGATTCTAATCGAACTGGCCGCTTAATTATCATTTAAGAATGTACGCGTCACAATTAAAAACGTTAATAAAAATATGAAAATATTATAGTTTTATTATTATGTCTGAGTATCTGTGTAAAATTTGAGCAAAATTCTCTTATTGATTTAAAAGTTAATAATTTATTTGTCTTGATTCTTATACAAAATCGTTTTGTACTTATTTGTAATATATTTGCAAATTTAATGATAAAATTTAATGATAAAATAACATTACAAATTAAATCGAATTATTTATATATGCTAATAAAACTCTAATAAACGTTCGTGCAAAAGTTTATTTGTGAATCCACTTATTTGTTTAAAATCATTATTTACCTAAAACTACAGCAATATATGAGAATTGCGCTGTATAAGTCAATAAAAAAGAAGTAAATTAGAAAAATTTGCTTCTTTCTTTTGTAATTGATTTCAGAACATGTTTACGATAAACTTTTTTTACTGATATTAGTTTTTTTAAACAAAATTTTTTTTTACTTTTAACTGATATTGTAGCCAAAACATCCTGTACGATCGTAATACTGGTCGCTCAGTTATCATTTAATTGCGTTAGTCGATAATTATCGAAAATTCTACTTTTCTTCCAAAATCGGCGACGCGATAATAAGCGGTCATTTCATAAAGTTTTTATCGCGTTTTAAAACACGTTACTTTATTTAGAATCGTATTACACGTGACATTTAATGACATTTTATTCGATTTTTGATCAGTAATAATTTCTTTTAATTTTTTTGTAACATTAATTATACACTTTTATTTTTAGTAAAAACTCTTTCATAACTACATTAAACATTTTTTTATAGAAATAATGGATAACATTTCCATATCCATATTTTGAAGTCATCAAAAATTTATTTAATTTGTGTATTTTGGAATAATCAGCCTTGTTATTACGATCCACTTTTGATCTAAAATCTAAGAGATTATATAAAAATTATAAAAAAATATTAAATATTAGATTCTTTATAA